TATCATCTATCTATCCATCCATCTATCCATCATCTGTTGACCTCTCTATCCATCATCCATCCATCTATCCTTCGTCCATCCACCCATCATTTATGTATACATCCATCATATATCCATCTATCATCTCTCCATCCTCCATCATCTTTCCATCCCTCCATCCCTCGTCTATCCATTCATCCATCCATCATCTACCTATCTATCCATCATCTATTCCTTCATAACCTATCTACCTATCCACCCATAATCCATCCCTCCATTTGTCCATCCATCATCTATCCATCTGTCCATCATCTATTCTTTCATCACCTATCCATCTATCCATCCGTAATCCATCCCTCCATTCATTCATCTCTGCATCCATTCATCCATCATGTATCCATCCATTCATCATCTCTCTATCCATCCATCCATCATCTGTCATCAATCCATCCATTATATATCCATCCATCTATCCATTTATCATCTATCCGTCCATCATCCATCCTTCCATCATCTGTTGATCCCTCCATCCATCATCCATCCACCCATCATCTATCTATACATACATCATATATTCATTTATCATCTATCTATCCTCCATCATCTTTCCCTCCCTCCATCCATCGTCTATCTATCCATTCATCCATCACCCATCCATCCATAATCCATTCATCCCTCCACCCATCATCCGTCTATCATCTTTTTTTGTTTTTTTGAGATGGAGTCTCACTCCATCACTCACGCTGGAGTGCAGTGGTGTGATCTTGGCTCACTGCAACCTCTGCTTCCTGGGTTCAAGCAATTCTCCTGCATCTGCCCAGCTAATTTTTGTATTTGTAGTAGAGTCAGGGTTTGGCCATGTTGATCAGGCTGGTCTCGATCTCCTGGCCTCAAGTGATCTACTCACTTCAGTCTCCCAAAGTACTGGGATTATAGGCGTGAGCCACTGTGCCGGGCCCATTCATCATCTTTTCATTCATTCATTCATTAATCATCCATTCGTCTATCCATCATCTATCCATTTATCCATCTATCCATCCATCCATTCATGCATCATCCATCCATCATTTATCCATTCGTCATCTATCCATCCATTCGTCCATCATCCATCCATACATCCATTCATTATCTATCATCCATTCATTCATCATCTGTCTATACATCCATCACCTATACATCCATATTTCCATTCATCTATCCATCCCTCTATCAATCATCTATCTATTCATCATTTATCTATCTATCCATCATCTATATTCCCCTCCCAACCATTTGAAAACAAACTGCAAACATCATGATACTTTACCCCAACTGCCATGGCATCACAAGGAGGTCCTACTGCACCACCATCACACCATCAGCACACCCAAAGGACTCAACAGTGATACAATAAAGTAATCTAATATTTCCGCAGTGGTCCCAATCAGTCTTTGAGTTGCCTGCTGGTTTAAATGTGGGAGTCCATCAAGAATGGAACATGGCATTGAGTTGTCAGGTCTTTTAAGTCCCTGTTAGTCTAGAACGGTCACCCTCTGGTGTTTTCCTCATGGCAATGATGCTTTTGCAGGTCAGACCAGGTGTTAAGTGGAATGTCTCTTAGTCTGGGCTGTCTCCTTGTTTCCTTGAGGTCAGATCAGGGCTAAACATCTTTGGCAGGAATGCAGCAGGGGATGTGTGCCTATCCTTGCTTCACGTGGTACAAGTTTATCCCTGAACCCTTTTTTGAAAATAACAACTTAATTTTTTAATATATCTGAAGTTATTTAGTGTGAGGTAAAGTGAGGATTTCACCAGATTTGTTTTTTTTTAGAACAGTTTCAGCTGCATTTAACACACAATCCTTTCAATGTCTTTTAAAATTCTTCATCTACAACAGAGCCTTTTCTGGGGTCTCTGGTCACATGGGTGCCATGCTGTTTTGATTATTGTGGCTCTAAAATATGGTTGGCCTTGTGGTGGTTCATGCCTCTAATCTCAGCACTTTAGGAGGCTGAGGCAGGCAAATCACTTGAGGCCAGGAGTTCAAGACCAGCCTGGCCAACATGGCAAAACCCTGTTTCTACTAAAAATATAAGAATTAGCCAGGCATGGTGACACACTCCTGTAGTCCCAGCTATTTGGGAGGTTGAGGTGGGAGAATCACTTGAACCTGGGAGGTAGGGATTGCAGTGAGCTGAGATCATGCCCCTGCACTCCAGCCTGGGTGATAGAGAGATACCCTGTCTCAAATGAATAAATAAAAATACAATATGCTTAACCTTCCTCCTCCCCCTCCCACCCCTATACTTTCTTTGTTCTAGACATTTCTGTGCTTTCCTTGTGCACATGCATGTGGCTTTCTGGCTGTCCCTCTGTCCGGCCTTGACAGGCCACTTCCTTTCTCTGCCTCATGAGCTCAGGTCCCCTCCGCCTCGGCCCTGCTGGTGAAAGTCAGATTTGTGCTTCTGCTCAAAGGAGGTGCTGATCACCCCGATTTGGGGTCTTTTCCATGGGGCAGGGCCGATGTCTCATCCTCTTCCCTCAGCAGAGGCTGAGGAAGGTCAGGGGCATGGGGGCTTGGCCTGGCTCCTTCGCCTCTCCCGACGTCTAACCTGCACCTTTTGACGGGGGTGAGGTCCTCAAAACCGGATGGAATGAGGGACCACAGGCTGCTCCCAACCCATCCGCGGTCACAAGAGGAACAGAGGCTGGGGGCAGCACCCAGGGGAAGAGCTCTGGGCTTTAACTGGGTGACCCCAGTGACCCCAGTGACCTGCCGGATGATTCAGGCCCACGCCTGCCCCACCTTGGAACCTGGAATTCATATCCAACATGCAGGAACTTGGGACTTGAGTCTGAAGCCCTTGGGTGTGGGAGGGGTTTGCGGCTTTGGCCTGGGAGGGGCCGTGGTCACTAAACTTCAGGCTCCCTAACGCCCTCACTCCCTAGCCCTGCTCTGCCTGGCTCCTTCTCAAAGCTCAGTCTGCCCAGCCAAAACATCTACTAGGAAAACGTCTCTTCCCAGCCAGACCTCCACCTGCAGGGGTTGAAGAGAGGAAGGGAGAGGAGGGGGCGAGGCAGGGAGCGACAGGGAGAGCAGAGACCCCTGAGGACCTGTTCTCGCCCACTCCCTTCCAGCTGCCCTGTGGGGTGACTCTGTTTCTATGGGAGCCAACTGGGTCTGTATTTCTGTGTCTCTCTGCTGAATCCCACAGCTCCCAGGCAAATGGCAGGCCCCAGAGAACAGAGATCTGGGTTCAAATCTCACCACCACCACTACTTGTAATGCCAACCTCCTCACCTGTACAACGCAGGTGTCAGATATAATGACCTTCATTTTTAGGTGATATCAAGATGCTTCCCTGGTTTTCTCTCACTGCACAGGACGGGAGATGCCCCCTGTGAACCCCAGGTGGCTGCCAGTGGGAACTCTGGAACAGGGAAGGATCTGTGAGGACGGATGGCGGGGAGACAGGGCTGACTCAGCTTCCGAGTTGCTTTCTTGCTGTTTTAAGGGCCAGACCCAGTGGAGGCAAGGAGCATAGCCTGAAATAGTAACAGTGGGAGTGTTTACACCCCAGCAATTGGCAAGTGCTAAGAATCGAGTGTCTGCAGCTGCCAGGAACCTGCTGAGCCTTTCAGAAGCCTTACCATATGCATTCTTCTTAACGGTCTCCACTGCAGCCATCTGGAAGCCCAGACCCTCATATCTCACCCAGATGACTGCACACCTCCCTATCCTCCTGCAGCCCCTTCTCCATGAGGGAGCCCCGTGAAACCACCAAGCAGTGTTAGAACCTGCCTGTGCACACCTTGGCACTCCCTCTGTCTGGGATGGAGTTTCTGCATCCCCTACTCCAGAGTCCAGGAGGGCTGGGGACAGCTTAGGCTGAGAGTGTACAGAGGCGTGGTGCTGTGCACAGGTACTGCTAGACTGGAAAGGGTGTATTGCCTCCACTGTGGGCGTGGGAGCACGCACACGAAGCCCTCTGCCATCCCAGAGGCAGCTTGACCCTGGAGGCCTCCATGCTGTGAGGAAGCCCATGCTGGCCCCCAACAGGCCACGAGACAGAGTTGAGCCCACCTGAAAGTGGGGGATGCTGGCCAGCCCCCCGTTCCCCAAAACCCACCAGCTCTGACCGTAGCTACAGGACAGATCCGGAGCCTGAACCTGCTGGCTGAGTCCATCTTGAATTCAGAATGTGAGAAATCGAGAGAGAATAACATGATTATTGTTCCTTTATTTATTTAGTTTTGAGACAGAGTCACTCTGTCACCCAGGCTGAGTGGAGTGATAGGATAATAGTTCACTGCAGCCTCAAACTCTTGGGCTTAAGTGATCTTCCTGCCTTCGTCTCCCAAGGACCTGGGAACTTAGGCACATGCCACCATGCCTGGCTAATTTTTAGAGTTTTAGGAGAGACAGCGTCTTGCTATGTTGCCCAGGCTGATCTCGAACTCCTGGGTTGAAGCGATCCTCTTGCCTTGGCCTCCCTCCTAAAGTGCTGGAATGACAGACGTGGGCCACTGTGCCCGGCCCTGTCTTCCTTTATGCCACGACATTTTGTGTTCCTGCCCGAAGCCCTCCAATGGCTTCCACTGCCCCTAGAATAAAATCCAGAGCCTTCCTTTGGTCCCAAGGCCAAGCGATCTGCCTCGTTGTTCCGTGAACAAGCCACACTGGTTCTCGCCCTCGGGCCTTTGCACCTGCTTTGTCGTGTCTGCCTGAAATGCCTGACCTAGATGTTCTAGATGTTCTCAGTCGGCTTCTTCTCAGACTCCTCAGACAAGGCCTTCCTGACCTGGGCCTGAAATCCTTTACCTGAAATGCTGCACCTGCGCATATCTCTGGCTCACTGTTTCTCCTCAGAAACTGAGAGCTCCGTGAGGGCCTGGTCTTAGCGCCGTGTCCTCAGCACTTAGCGCAGAGCCTGGCACATAAACCTGTGTTGAAAGAATGTGTGGATATTTCCTAGAGCAACCCTCTGAGCTGGCTGTGGCCCAGAAGAACAAGACAAGCCTCCGGGAGGCTAACAGCAAAATTCATTGTAATCATGTTTATTTAACTCCATGTATCCAAAATGTTTTTTCAACCTGAAATTCATACAAAAATTCCCAATTGAGAAATTTTGCATTCTTTACTAAGCATTTGAAACCTGGTATGCATTCTGCACTTACTGTAGTGTGCAGTTTGGACCGGCCACATCTCTCGTGCCCAGCGGCCACGCGTGGCCATCGCTCCTGGGCTGGATGGCCCTGGTCTAGCTAGACTCTCGGCTTTTGTTTCTTGAAGCTGCCAAATGTCCTTTCATGCATGTCTTCATTCACAAAATGTTCACACAACGATTGTGGGCTTGTGTGCTATTTTCAACTTCACTTCTATTTGTGTGTTTAAAAGAAAATACAATGATTTAATAGGGAGTTAAAACAACATGGAGAGAGAGCCTTCCCACCCTGCTGGCGGCCGGCGGGGGTTATCTACGTTTCTGGAGAGTGTGAACTGGAAAGGCCTGATCCCTAGTCGCTGGGGGCCTGAGATAATGACTTAATTAACGCCTGCGCTGGGCAGTTTTGATCTTCAAGGAGTCCAGCCCACTCGGCTGGGGTTGCTTTTGGATTAATTGCCTAGAACGGAGAAAGCCTTGCCCAGAGATAAAGGGAAACGGGTTTCGTCATTACAAATTGTTCTGAAATCTGCCCTGGCACTGGGGAGCAGCAGCCAGGATTTGGGTGCCCAGCTGGCCCCCCTACCCCCAACCCAGGTGCAGGCAGGCGGCCAACAGTGCCCTTGCCCAGGGCACCCCAGTGCAGCTTTTCCTGGGCAGGTGGGTGGGAGGGAGGCTTCCTGAGAGTGGAGGCAGCTGGCGCAGGGACGGCTGTCCACCTCCCGCTTTTCAGATGAGGCAAGGGACACCCAGGGCAGTCTAGGGACAGATCTCACCAAGGCCAAGGTCAAGGGGCAGAGAGCAGAGGAGAGAACTTGCCTGTGCCCCCTCCTCGAACCTTGGACCTGGGGATCCGGAGTGTTGACCACAAGCACTGTTCCTGGGTGGCCCCTCGCTTCTTTCCTGTTCCTGCCTGTACACCCCACGTACAAATGCCCCTGCGAATTGAGGATGGTCTATATTTACCGACGTTGCAGAGGTGTCCCTGGGGTGCTCAGCACCCCTGCAAGTCCCCGCTTCGCGTTGATGTGTGAGTGCCTGTGAAATTATACAAGGAAAGAGCTTAGCACCTGGCGCCATCCACGTCGCCGTAAATGTCAGACGTTACTACTACTACTAAATAACAACGACAGCGATCGCTGCGTGCCTGCTGGTGCCAAGCCCCGGACGGGCCCCGTACATGCAGCCTGGGTGGGGATGGGTATGAGGGGGCAGCGCTGGGCTCGGCAAAAGTTTTCTTCCCCTCTCCAGCCGCCTATCCTGAGGATTGGCCAAGGCCCTTCCCGCTTTCCCTGGGTGCCAGGGTCTTGGGGAGGGGCGGGAGGGAACCAGCCAGGGGCAGACGTCTGGCCACCCGCCCCTGCTGCGCGATGGCCCCCCTCGCTCGGCCTATTTGGGGCACCTGACTCACGGTAATTATGGGCCCGCGGGCACGTCGAGGCGCGCCGGGAGAGGCCGGATGCACCGGCTCCGGGGGCGACCGGACATCCCAGGCCGCCAGGTGCACCTTGCTTCCCACCAGCAGCTCCCCGCACCCGCCGGGAGCTCCCCGCTGCTTCCGCCAGGGGCCCCGGGCTCACCTCGGGGCGCCCACGGCCTCCCAGACGCGCGCCGCAACCTGGGGTGGGAATGTTTCGGGGGGCGGCGCGCGGCGCGCGTCTCCCTCCCGCACAAAGCCAGCCTCCGTCCCGGGATCCGCGCCTCTGTCTCCTGGGCCTGGGAGGGGACGCCCGGCGGAGCTCCGAGCGCAGTGCCCACGCGATCTGGCCGCCCACGCCTCCTCCGACGCGGGAGTATATTTAGCCTCATTATCAAATGTTTGCAGTGAACTGTGCGAACCGACTAATAGCGGCTGGAAGTGAAACTCGATTCCCGGCCAAAAAGAAGCATGTGACCGCCCCCATCTGCAAGGATCGCGGCAGGGCGGGCGGGGCAGGTGCTGCAGCTTCCGCGGCCAAAACCCGCCGGCGAGGCCCGGGTCGCATCGTCCCCTCCTGGGTCGAGCGCCTGAAACGCACTTTCTCCCTCCGCCCGCTCTCCAGGGGCTGCAGTGAGGACGCTGGGAGTCTGAATGGAAACGAAGGCCGGGGAGGGTGCTCCCCGCGGGCGTGGATTTTTATCCAAGTCGGCGACCTCTTGGTTAAGTCGGCCCTGCGGTTTCAACGCCCAATTCCCCCAAAAAGCCTGTGGGGGTCCACGTCTTCTTGTTTCTTCCGGGATCCGGCGGAGGATGGGGCGGGGCCGGGCAGGGGGGGGTCCCTGTCCCACGCCGGGCGCGCCGTGCCCCGCGTCTCCCCAGAACGTGGCTGTCGCGCGGCTGCACAAGTTTTCGCCTCCCTCGCTCGGCCGCTGTTGTTGTGGTCGCCATGGCGACGGGTCGCGGTTTTATTTTTAATAGAGGCCGGCGATTAGAGAGATGCCTGCACCGCTTTCGCTTAAGCTCTGCGTCCCTCGGGTGAAGCACCCACGCCCCGCCCCAGCCCCCGCCTCGCTCCAGCGCCCCTTCCACGTCCCCAGGTGGCCCTAAACTCTAGCTGGGCGCACCCGTAGCTCCAGGCCGGGCAGGGAAGCCCAGGGAAGCAGCCATCTAGGCCCTCAGAGGCGGCGAGGACCCCCAGGACCCCGCAAGCTGGGAGGGACGGGTACCCCACCCCCAATACAACGCGACCTTCCTCCTTGCTTTCCACACCGTCACACCAAGTACTGTAACCCCACAGAGGTGACCTCGGGGCCCCTCTGCCCGGAGGAGTCCGAGGCCCAGGACAGGATACACGCGACTCCAGGATAACTGGCCGAGGAATGAGGCCGGGGTCTGGCCTGCGTCCTGACTCTGCGAGTCCGGCTCCTTCCAGAAGCCATCCAGTGGGTGTCCCCTCCCGAGCGGCCCAAGTTCCCCCTGGAGGGACCTGGCTTTCAGGGGCTTCTCCACGTTTCCAAGGCTCTCCTGGTTCTGTCCCGGTCCCGCTTGGTCCTGACCACCCAGAGGGCGTGCTTGACCGCGGGGGTCGCGGTGTGGGACTGCAGACAACGGAAGGGAGAAACCTGGGGAGGGGGCCTGCAGGTGTGTGGAAGGGCGCGTGTAGAAGCGACCCACTGGGAGCGAAGGGAGAGGCCCTTCCCCCCCCGATACTGGGGGGAAGGTGAGCGCCCCCGAAGCGCTCTCTGGATTCGGCCTTTGAAATGCTAGAGCTGGACTAGCTGGGGATGAAAGACCGCCCGCAGGGCTGCGCCTTAATGGCCTTTGTCTGGAGGGAGGGCGACCGCGGCGGGGGCAGGGGTTTAATCCACAGGGTTGGGGGTGACGGCTGGGACGGGCTGAATTCTGCTTCACTGCCCACCCACGGGAGCGTCTCCTGGTTTCCAGGGGCCTAGGCCGTCTAGCCTCGGGGTCTGCACAGCGCGCCACCCTGCTGGACCCAGTACGAGGGCGCGTAGATCCCCTAGGAGGGCACTGGAACCGTAGTCAGGGTCCAACTCCTCCTGGTCTAGGGAGGCGAAATCCATCCCGCCCGGGCACACCCGCCCTTTCTCGGCGTGGGAGCCGTCTAGCCACGCTCAGACCTCGGCCTCCGCGCGCGTTCCTCCCCCGCATCGCGCTCTGAGCTGCGCCTCGGCCGGAGGTGGCGCTCTGTGCGCCCCGCGGATCCCGACGCGGGAGGCTCAGAACCCGGGGGACCCTCACTCGTGGCTCCTTTCCCTTCCATCCCCTCGACTTCCCGGCTCAGGGCGCGGCCCTGCCTTCGGCGCGGGAGTGGGGGACTGGGGGGCGCGGGTCCCAGGGTGGGGACGAGGCGGGCTGCAGGCCGGTCCCCCGACCAGAGCTCGCTCCCAAGTGGAAATGTGGGTGGAGGGTCCTCATTCAGATGCCCCAGGCTTCGGATCCTGGGCGGGGGCGCGTGGCAGCCGCCAGGTGAGTGCCCCAAACCCGCCCCCGTCCTTCCCCAAAGACTGACTCCCCCTCCTTTTATGGAGAGGGTAAGGCTGGGGCCCTGGATCCGAACCGTGGAGAGCGGCCGGAGCGCCGGGGCGGGGGCGGGGACCGGCTCTCTCGCCCTTTTTGGCGCAGCAGCTCTGGGCGCTGCCCGCTGCCGCCGCTGGGGCCCGAGAGAGGCGAGCCGGCGACGGCGGCGCTTCTGCGGCGGCCTCCTCCCTCCCCACCCGGTGCCGCAGGATTGCAGCTGGCACTGGAGGGTGGGCAAGCTCGAGGGAGGGGCACGGAGCCCCGGCGCGGAGCCGGGCGCGGGGCTTTGATGGATTTAGCTGCTTGCGCGAGCGCGTGTGTGCTCCCTGCCGCGGCGGCGGCGCCCGGGCCCTGCCGGGTCCGCACGAACCCCGCGCGCTTCCGAGGTGCGGGTCCCGGGCCCGGAATCCGGGGGGGGAGGGGGGGGGGGGCGGGGGAGGGGCGCGGCGGCGGCGCTATAACCCTCTCCCCGCCGCCGGCCGGCTCCACACGCGCGCCCTGCGGAGCCCGCCCAACTCCGGCGAGCCGGGCCTGCGCCTCCTGCTCCTCCTCCTCCTCTTCTCCCGGCGGCGGCTGCGGCGGAGGCGCCGACTCGGCCCTGCGCCCTCCCTCAGGCCGGCGCGGGCGGCGCAGCGAGGCCCCGGGCGGGTGGCGGCTGCCAGGCGGCTCGGCCGCGGGCGCTGCCCGGTCCCGGCGGGTGGAGGGCGGGGCGCGGCGCCGGAGCCGAGGGCGCGCCGCGGAGGGGGTGCTGGGCCGCGCTGTGCCCGGCCGGGCGGCGGCTGCGAGAGGAGGCCGGAGGCGAGCGCGGGGCCGGCGGTGGGCGCGCAGGGCCGCTCGCAGCTCGCAGCCGGGGCCGGGCCAGGCGTCCAGACAGGTGATCGGTGGTGGTGGCAGCGGCGGCAGCGGCCCCAGCTTCCCTCCGGAGTTCTTCTCGGGGCTGATGCCCGCAAATATGCAGAATTACCGGCCGAGTCGCTCCTGAAGCCAGCGCCGGGGAGCGAGCGCGGCGGCGGCCAGCACCGGGAACGCACCGAGGAAGAAGCCCAGCCCCCGCCCTCCGCCCCTTCCGTCCCCACCCCCTACCCGGCGGCCCAGGAGGCTCCCCGCGCGGCGGGCGCGCACTCCCTGTTTCTCCTCCTCCTTGCTGGCGCTGCCTGCCTCTCTGCACTCACTGCTCGCGCCGGGCGCGCTCCGCAAGCTCCGTGCTCCCCGCGCCACCCTCCTCCGGGCCGCGCTCCCTAAGGGATGGTACTGAATTTCGCCGCCACAGGAGCCTGGCTGGAGCGCCCGCCCCGCGGCCTCGCCTCTCCGCCGAGCCTCCAGCGCCTCGGGACGCGATGAGGACCTGGGCTTGCCTGCTGCTCCTCGGCTGCGGATACCTCGCCCATGCTTTGGCCGAGGTTGGTGCCGCCCCCGCGCCCCGTCCCTGCGCCGGCTCCTCCGGCGCACACCCCCCGCTGGCTGGGGCGCCGCGGGCTCTGCAGAGAGCGTTTTGGTTTCTGCTAGGGTGGTCGATGTTTAAATTTTCCCAACTGGTTTCTATTTTCTGCCATGCCTAAGTGTGTGTGGGGAGTTTCCAGCGTGTTGCGTCGCTTGCTCTGCCTTGGAGGGACCGGGGAACAGCGAGGTGGACGAGTGGGGAGAAACTTCGGGGGGCGCAGGGTCCTCTCCGGGGAAGGGGAGCTGGGGCGCAGCGGGCGCTGCAGCAGCGGGGTGCGGGGAGTGGGGAAGGGGGTGTGTGTATGTGTGTGTGTGTGTGTGTGAGCCGGCGAAGCCTGGGGAGGAGAGAAGGGCGGCTGATAAACAGGTAGGGGCGGCTGCTGCGGAAGCCCCTGGCCGGGCAGGGTAGGCAGCGCCAAGCCACAGCCCCCGGTTCCCAGTCCCCAAGCCCGGCGGGGCGCAGGGCCGGCGCAGTCCCGGCGCAGTCCCGCCCGCCCGGGCCTGCTTACAGGTGGCTGAGCCAGGCGAGCTGGGGCCGGGCCAGGCGTCCGCACCCTCCCACCGCGGCGTCCCCGCCCCCCCATCCTCATCCCCATCCCCGGGAGCTTTGCTGTGATGAATGACTTTCCGCAGCCCCCGTCGTGGGAACTTAGTGCTTCAGGCTCTCCAGCGACCCCCGACTCTCCTTAAAAATCGGGGAGGGGAGTGGGGGAGGCCAGAGGTGAGGGTGGTCTCCGCAGGACCGGGAGAGCTGTGCGAGGTGGAAGTTTTAACCCTCGCTTTCCCTGGAGGTTTCTTCTCCCGGCCGCGGGCTGGATTTGGGCGTCTTAGTCGGCGCTAGGGCCGCGGCTGGGCCGGAGCCCGGGGTGGGGCGAGTGTGTGAGTGAGATGTGTGTGCGCGTGTGTGTGTCTACGCGCGCGTGCGTGTGTTTGTGAGACGGAGAGACCTCTCCACGGGTTCGGCCCGGGATTCCGGGGCGTGAAATTTAAGCCCTGCCTGGATTAAAGTGTTAGGGCTGCCGTGACTCTCGCCGACCCGTGACGCATTTTAACTTGATCTTTCTAGATGTTGATCTCACTATTAAATCGGAAACTCTCGGCCCCCTCGCTGCCCCCAGACCTTCTGTAACTGACACCCCGGGCGGAGGGGCCGGAGTGCGGGGGCTTTTGTCTGAAAATATAAAGGGGGGGAGGCTTTGATTTTGCAAAGAGCGGAACATGGATGGGGTGGAGAATTTGGGGTCTCTTCCAGCCCCACCCCCGGCTTCTGGTTCCAGGGTCGGGGCGAGGGCTCCGCGGGGGCTGGGGCGGGGACTGCGGCCGGCGCTCGCGGGGTCTCCTCGGGCCCGGGGCGGCGGCACTCCTGGCGGCCGGGGGCGCGTGCCGGCGGGGTCGGGGCCGCGGGCACTGACCGTGTGGCCTCTGCTTGCAGGAAGCCGAAATCCCCCGCGAGGTGATCGAGAGGCTGGCGCACAGTCAGATCCACAGCATCCGGGACCTCCAGCGACTCCTGGAGATAGACTCCGTAGGTAAATCGCGCCCCTTCCCTCGGCGCGCGGGGAGGGCGCGGGCGGGCGGCCTGTGCGCCCCGAGCTGGGGCCGGGCGGGGCGCCGCGCAGGAGCGCACCGAAAGGTCAGAATCCAATCCCCGGCCATAAGCGCCCGGGCGGATGAGTCAGGAGTTTCTCTTCCAGTCTCCACTTTCTCTCCCAGCGGCGGCCGAAGGCTGCTCGGTCGCCCCAGGATTGTTTTCGCCTTTAAGGAAAACGCCGCGTGTGTCATACAAAGTTCAGCCGCGGCCCCAGCCAGGTGTGCGGGCCCCGCGCCTGCCCTCCGGCCGGAGGAGCGGCGGGATCCGGCCCAGACCCTGGGCGCTGAGCCCTGGCCCGTGCGCCGGGCGGGCAGCCCGCGGAGTGAGGCCCCAAGGACAGGCGCAACTCCCGGTCCGACGGGCGGGGGGGCGGGGCCGGCCCCTTTGTAATCCCTGCGAGCTGGTACCGCGTTCTTGCCGCAGGGCTGGGCCTCTGTGGCTGCAGAAGCCGGTGTCTTACTGTTTTCACGAC